GAAGGTGATAAACTCAAATCGCATATTTAATTACGTAGAGAAATAGGATTATACAATGCTATGTAATTGAGAACTAATTTTCAGAATGATCGCCCAGATCCCTGAAGTACTAATCATCTAAGAAAGGGGCATCAATGTTTACCCTATTCTTATGATTAAGTCAGAAAAGTGGCTTACTCTATTTCGAAATGTATTTAAGAAAAAGTAGGTCTGGAAGAATTTGAGATTACCCTTTATCCGAAATATACACTTGTATTTAAGATAAGTATATGTTTGCATATAATCTACAAATATAATCTATGACATATTATGTACACGACATGTAACATGACATCTGTGTTGCGCATGTAGGATATCACAGTATTATCTATGTTACATATACATATTTTATAGATTATACATGAACATACATTTACTAAAACTTATGCACACACACACCCTGAACCGGTGGCTCAGAAGTTTAGCTGTCAGTCCCCTCTCTTTGGGCTCTTTTGATGTAATAGGTGCTCAGTGCACGCAGGTTGCACGAAGCGCTCAGTTACTAGGCTAAGAGGGAAAGCACAGCTGAACGGAAGGGGCCCCGCCTGCAATCGTCAACACCGACTTGGATGTTTTGTTTTTTTTTCCAGGAGAAGTTGGTGAAGGGAGCCCCTGGGCTGCCGTCACTGTTACCGACTCCAGGTGGACTCTTACCTAAACTCTTCTAAAATGCAGAACCTAAACCTAATTATTAATGTGCCAGTAGGGTCCATGAGAAAGAGAACAAAAGAAAGAATCACTACCCCCGCAGCAGAGGTCCCCCGGGGGACGACATTTCCCCTGATCTTGAACCCTGAGTTAGTGTCTGCCCTAGACACGAGGGGTCTCAGCGTCAGCAGTTCATCTGAGCTCAACGGTGGGTGCCTCATACTTCTTTGGTGTGCACGGGCTTGGGAAAGCGCCACACTAGGCATGCATAGGGTTAAATCCATGCCATGCAACTTATTCACACCACACTGGCCTCAGGAGCACTACCCTTAAGCATAACATTTTATTCTTCTGATAAGATACTCCAAGCCCCCCCAAAAAAAAAAAAGCTAGTGAAGAAAGGAATTTCCCTCAGAAAAAAAGAAAGAGACGAAAAAAGGAAAAAAGCAGTAACTCTTGAGGATAAACAGCACATCCCTCTCTGGCAACTCCCACCGTTCCCTGCAAACTACAGGACACGAGGTCAGCATAAATGTGAATTTAGAAGACGCACGTAGTTATGCCCCGTCACACCATCGGAACCTCTGCATCCCTCAGTGTAACCCAGCCAGCTGCTGCGCGTGGGCACAGCACAAACGGTCACTGTTTCCCGAAGGAAGCCAGCAAGTCTGTCTGCAGAGAAGCCACGTCTGGGTAAAGCGACACCCGACTGCCATCCCCACATACATCAGGACGATCTCATCTTCCCCTCCCTCGGGCCGACAGTGATCTCCCCCTCTTCCCTGCAACTAGTGATGAGCAGTACTTTCCACGACCCAGACAACAGACAGATGGACGGACGCCAAAGGACCATACATCCGTGGTCTACCGTGCCCTTTTTAATCAACTTCCTAATTAAAAAACGCCATGCTGGCACGAGGTATGAAGGGAGTAGGCTTGGGATATTTCACAAAATCGTATCCCCTAATCTGGGGCTTGTTGAAAATCTGTGTTCTTACAGATGTTTATGAGTTTTCCTGGTGCAGAGATAGAATCAATTTGCTTGTGCCTGGCCCTCAAGACGTATTAAATTTATCCTGAAGGAAACTGGTTTCTGGAAAGCTCTTGCCCAGATGCATTAGGCAGGTGGGAGTTTCAGGGAGCCAGAGGGTCCACTAGCAGATGCAGCATTGATTTCTGAATGTTCACCATCTACAGACAGCTCAGAGCAGACTCGATTTGATGGCTCTCTATGGGGTGCCCTGCAGACTCGATTATTTCCACAACCAGTCTGGCTAGCATTGTTTCATGGCGACAATGCTCGTGCTCTCAGCTTCTGTTCAGATGGCACAGGCTAGAGGCATACATGTACCCGGGTAGGAGGAGACTGGGCCAAATTTAAAGTCAGTCTCTAAGAACTCCCCCTCCCTTTCAGGCTTGAGTGATGCAGTGGGCCCTGGAGCCGAGAGGTAGTGCTGACTTTAGAAAACCATTTTGTTGAGTGCCACTGAAATACATGATGAGCCCAGGGTGAGGGATGGCGTGAAGGCCTATCCAAAACAGTGTCTGCCCCTGCAGATCGGAGAACTGACAAGGGACTAAAAAGAGCCCCCACTCCATAAATTATTAATTCAAGAATTGTTTGATTTAGAGATCTCCACTGGACATTCCAAATCTGGAAATATCTCAAGTAAATGTCTAATAATCTTCAGGACATTTTCTCTAAAGCAATTTGAGACTAGAGCAGCCAGACCTCAGCACAAAGCAGGTGGGAGGTAATATTGAGCCCTAAAGTTCCTTCCAGCTCTCTCCACAAGGACACAAACATATCCGAAGCAGGTTCACACGGTACCCGTATTACCCCACCGGCTGAAGTCCTGTCAGACTGCACACAATTCTTTCTGGCTGGGGTTTGAAAAACACATATACACCCTCACTCGCAAAACCTTTGAAGAGATTAATTGAGTACTCCTGGGACTGCAAAAATACATCCGAGTACAGAATTAAAAAAAAAAAAATAAGACCAAATAACCTCTTGAAAGAAAACTATTTACACCCATCTTCATTTACAATCCACAGGAGCCCTGGAAGAGACTGGCCTTGGGGCACCCATGGTGCAGAACAGACCCCACAGGGTAGACGTCTGCCCGTATGCCAGCCCCTCTTCCCTAGTGAGGCAAAGAGGCCCTGAGTTCCAGCTAATATTTTGGCACCTCATTGACTGCTTAAAAGATTTGTTATGAAAAGCTGCTTTTCTTCCAAAGTTGATCTTCAACCTTAGAGGTAAACCAAATAAATAAATAAATAAATAAATAAATAAATAAATAAAAATAAATAAAAATAAGAAGAAGGAGGAGGAGGAGGAGAAAGAAGGAAAGGAAGGAAGGGAGGAAGGCAGGCAGGCGGGCCCCCTTAGAAATCATACTCCCACGCAGGTGTACAACACCATATTTCTAGCTATGGGACTTCATTCTTTCATTGTCTTTGAAGGCAAGCCCTTCCCAACTCCACAGTGCCTGAGAGCTAATGTGACAGATAGTGGCATAAAGTGAGTCTGTCAAGTGGAAACTCATGACATAATTTTGGCCCTTAAAAAGAAGCTGGACGACACCTCTGAGGGGCAGCCAGGCACAAAGGAAGACTGGGAGGTGACGTGCCAGTGCTCCCTTCTGTTTGTAAATGGACACATTGAGAGTAAAAACTAATGCTCATATTTTGCCCCAAGAAAGTTATAACCCATCACCAAACTAAAAGGAGTTATTTTAATCGGGGAAAGCTTGACTCAGTAATAAAATGAAATACAGTGTCGAAAATAATGGAAACATTCATTTTCTCTAGATAAGAGTTCATGAATCTGAGAACAATTTGGTATTTAATACTGTGGAATTAAATAAAAAATGACACTGCTACTAGCAAATTAAAAAATACAATTAAAAAGATTTTATATATATATATATGCATTGATATAAAAATAGAGAATTCATCTATTACGCAAGAAAATAAAGAGCTCAGTGTGAGTGTTCAGAAACTTGCAGCACTAGGGGAAATGATCAAAGCCAAGTGTCAGGGTCTTCCCACAAAAGGTTAATGTATTTTCCGACACCTTGTGTTTGAGGTTTAGTTTCTCTGTAAGAGAGTTTTTTTTTTTTTTCTTTTGGGGAAAGGCATAGTTTTTTTAAACAGAAGAAATGACCCTCCAAAAAGTTGAATTTTCTGTCAAATGGTTGCTGTCATTGTCTAAGGAAAAGAGCTTAAGGAAAGCAACTCTTAAAAAAAGAAAAGAAAAGAAAAGAAAGAAAAGAAAAGAAAAGAAAAGAAAACCTTAAAATAAAAGCAAAATAAAATCCTGAAGTGATTTGCTATATTTAAGAAACCATCAATAGGCAGTTCAAGGATAGTAATTCCTACTTGAGTTCCACCTTAGAAACATGAAATAATTAGGTCAGTTAAAATGACAAGCTTACCTTTTAAGGAGAGTAAAAATTATGAAAACAAGAGAGAACTATTTATCGGAGAATTCCCGGAGAAGGAAGTATTTCTAACTAGACACTAAAACACCCCTATTGCAGTATTACAGTCAGAGAATTATATAAGAAATGTCTGTCAGAACCGGGATTCCAGCAGGCTAATACTTATCTCCCAACTAGGGAGACTGGTTTGTAAAACCAGTTTCCATTATTTTTTTTTCCCCGAAAACAACCGAAAGTATCAGAGGCAGGGCTAATTTTTCTATTTCCTATCTGTGGATTCTACAGAATCAATACAAACTTGAGTTCGATTTTCACAATCTCTCGTAAGTTGCTGGTTAAATTAGCCAAAAATCCTCTTCCAGCCAGGAAAAATATACACCAGGCAAAACCATTTATGCCTGAGCTTGAACGGAAACCGCGTTAGCTCATCCTCCTGGTCTGGATACACTGTTCCAGAAAACATTAATTAAACACCTTGAATCATGGCTGCTGTAAAGATCAGAAAGCAGTCATCCCCTCACGGGGAATTCTCACTCGCAGACACAGGCATGGGAAGACGCATCAAGCAAGTACCCCAAAGCCAGCCGCAGAGGACGGTTCTTTTGTTGCTGACCAGGAGGAGCTGAACTTTGCTCCACTTTGGGGAGCGCAGCCACTGCTCCGGCAACAACAAGGACAGGACATATTTACCTGCAGGGAGCATCAGAGAGAAACCTGAGCCCCCGCAAAACAAAGTGGTCCAGATGCATGGTCTGCGGCTGCAGGGCTGCAGGGCTGCAGGCCCCCGGCTGCTTTGGCTAGGCCGGCTCCTGCCAAGCAGCCGTCCCCACGGCGGCCACCCTGCCTTCCATCTTGGGGACTCACCCAGAAAATCCCGCACCCTGCTCCAGGACTCCAGAACTCTTGTAATGCTCCCGAACGCCCACCGTTCGTTCTGCATTCATCCAATCAACTTTGCACTGCACATCTTCCTCCACCGGCGCTCAGACGCCCGGCCGCTGCTCATCTGTATGCTAATTATTTTGCCACATGGACAAAAGTAATAATGCTTTCAGACAGGAAACTAACAGGCCTGAAGTCGAAGATGGAAATTAATAAGTTGACACCACTAAACGCCGGCCGCGCTGCCTGGTGGAGGGAGCCGAGCCTCGCGGCCGGGCTGGGCGTCAGGCAGCGGCTCCCGGGGAGGCCGTGGCCGCGGAGCAGCACCAGCTCGCCGCTGACTTACCCTGTGGCAGGCTGCATCCTCTAAGCACTACAAAACATATCCATTTCCCCCAGTCCTAGCACGGGAGGGCACTTCAGCGCTGAGCTAGGTGTTTTTCAAGTGATAGCTATGGATTAAACCGGTGATTTCTAACCTTCCTGTTTATTAAGCCTGCAACACAGTCAGACAAGATTGGGGACGCACGCTGTATGCTTCTTACATTGTACCCACAGGCCCCTAGATCTCTGGAGCTGAATGTGTATCATGTGCAGTGCCGTATTCAATGTAATAGATGAGAACTGGAAATACTGGAGCCAGGCCGGGAGCAGTGGCCGGCTTGGGCAGTAGATCTCAAATTACCCCCCACCATCATGGACGTTATGGCAAATTCATGCTGTGGCTAAAGAAATCTCACCAAGTCAGCTACACCCACAATATTTTACATCGTACTACTGCTCAGCATTGAAACAAAACCAGAAGAGGTTCCAAATTGCCCTGGCGCTTCCGATGGGGGAACAGTTACACAAGAGTTAACTGGAACGGACTCCTGAACCTCTCCGGGGCTGCCAACCGCACTCTGCTCTGCTTCAGTGGGAGCTCCTTTTATCACTTGCTCTTAAAACAAAAGACATAAAACTCTTTCTCCAAGAAACTTAACACATCATCAGCCTCTCGGTCTTGTTTGAAGGAAAGAAAATACCCAAGAAAGTTCTATCTGAAAAGGCAAGACCAAATAAGATTTCAAAAATACAGAACGGAACATAGATATGTGACTTTCATTAGCATTTTTCTGGTTAAAAAAAAGTGCTGATTTTATAGATGGCTTCTTGAGTCAGGCAATAAAGGCTTGGGTCCAGCAGCGACTCCACCAGCGCACTCCCTGCAAACCTCTCTGTTCTAACACTCAGCACTATGAGAGTGCACACGAAATCACAAAGGCTACTTAGCACCTCCCACTCCTGCCCCTGGACACTAGCCTTGCAGACACAGACTTGTGTTTCATGACAACTCCAGCAGCACGCAGGCACCTCGGGCGCCTGCCCACAGAGATAGGATCGTGCAGGACTAGCTCTGTTGGAGAAAGAGTCCATCGTTGGCTCCTGTACACACCAAACCATGCGATTTTAGGGAGTTTCAGAATCTCAGCACATAAGAGCTGCAGATCGTCAGGTAGACAAGCAGACAACTATTTGTTCAAGTACTTAAGAGACCAGGTGAAATAATTCCAAACAGCTGGAAGTTGCAACCACCACATGCATCCCAGGCAACCTTTACATAGAAAGAAAGGGATACCTTTTTTGCAGAAGAGTTGGTGGCCATGAAGCAAAATCCCGCTCCGCAGTCTATTTCTCCACACACGCAGGGCTATTTCCGCTGTGGAGAGCCCCTGGCACGTGTTGCTCGCTCTTCCCTATGCATCCCTGCTCCATGGGCCCGCGCCCTCCAGCGCCGGGCTGTCAGCTCACCGTGCTCAGGGAGAGTCTAGGGCAGAGTGGCCAGCACTGATGAGGCACTGCAGACTTTCCGCAGCGCAAGGCGCCCACGGTGGCTTCCGTCGGGGACAGCACTCAAGTCTGAAGTTACCAAGAACCCCCCATTCTAGCTTTCCGAGGCGATTCCTCTAAATCCTGAGCCTATCGCCGGGCGTGTCGAGAGCAGACGTGCTGGTTACCACAGAGCCTACCGTGCTTCCCCCCAGCCCTGCTGGAAATCGCCGCAGCCTGAGAGCAAGAAACGCTTGAGGAGAGCACCCTGCACTGCTCTGTCTTCTCACAGCACAACACCCCTTACACTTAGACTAAAACGTTTCCTCCCCCTCCCAACTTTTCCAATAATCACCACGTGGGGAGTAGGGATTTTTTTTAAAGAGATACATTTTAGGAAAAATTTTCTAGCAGAGCAGCCCCAAACAGCAAAGCTTATCAGTATTGCTTCACATAACAAATAAGCATTTATGCGTTCTTTCTAGTTTTATAACACCTGGCTTACATCTTCTCTGCCATCTCTGATTACCTCTACAGATACCCCGAGGACTCATTATGATGTCAAAGCTTCAAACAGTCTCATTGTGAAAACAGGCATAGAAAAATCATTGTGTATGCTTGAACAATGCAGGTGTGAGAGAAGAGAGGGAGGCAAAAACAGACAAACAGGAACAGAGTTAAAGAGAGAGGGGGAAAGGGGGGGAGGGGGAGAGGGAGGGAGAGAGAGAGGGAGAGGGCAAGAGAGAGAGAGAGAAGATAGGACACAAAGCATACTCCAACCTGAAACCGTGTTGCATTGAAATAGAGCTCACTGATGGAAAACATACAGCTGCTACCTTAGAATAATCTAGTATCAGGAAAATCATACAATAAATTACCCCAAAGGTATTTAGTATTATTTCTTGTACCAGTTATGACCATCATGGACATTATTTCTAAATTGCAGTGTATGCCGATTTAAAATATCTTTTTTGAATATCAGCCACATGTGGCACTTATATGTGCTTTATCCCTGCCACTTCAAAATAAAATGTAAAAAATAATTTTACACACACATAATTTTAAGTTTGTGATATCCTTTCTCTTTAGTTTGGGATTAACGTAGATCAAGGCCAGGTACAGTGTTGTGAAGACTATACGGTGATGAAACTCAGCTGGTGGAACAATGTTAATCATTTGCAAGTTTAGTTCAAGTTTAGCCTCTATTACTCCTTCCTGAGGAACGCTACACATATTTTTCAAAGAAAACAAAAGGAAGTCATTTGTGTAAAGGGCTTTTTAAACCACTGAACACAAGAAAGAGCATAAGCCTATTACAATCAAATTATAATAAGAAATAATTGGATCATAAGAATTTACCAAAACTAAAGATCTTTTTACTGACTCTACCATTCATCTGCTGCCTGACAGACTTCTGGTGAGGCTTTGTGTCAAGGCAGGCTTCCTGGCTAAGTAGGAGGTGCACTGGAAAACCTGGTTATTGGTTGGAACTGTAGCCCTGAACTCAAGAGGACAGCCTGACGAGCCATACTTCAGTGTCAGAGCGGGGTGGTCTGCACCAAAAAGTGTTTCATTAGTCTCTCTTATTCCACTGAGTGGGTTTCTTGAGTCAGGCTTATTAAGAGTCACTAAAACGTTAAGTTGTTTGAAGTTAAAAATGTAGCCATCAGAATATAGAGTAAGTAAACAAAGTATTTTAGGTGATGTATTATGCTTCTTAAAGCAATGCCTCTCCTGCAAATCAGATTATCCTGCAGGTAGAGCTGGAAATCTGGTTTACCCATGTGACTTTGAAAATATCATTTAGGCAACAAAATAAATTTTTCACAGAAAACTGATTTGGATTTTTAAATCACACAGGTGAAATATTTCTAAAAAGAAATGAACAAATAGATTGTTAACTCTTAATTTTAAATATAGTTTTAACAAGTAGAAAAACTTTAAAAAACCCTGAAGTTGCAAAATAACATTTCTTTTCCCTAATCTATTGAAAATTGGCATAAAAAACAGACATAAAACATCAGACATATTCAGTGGTAAAACATGAAATATAAAGATTTTCAAGACATGAAAGAATAAATAAATAAACAAGGTCGGTGAAAAACACAACAGGAACAATGAAAGCCACACACTGAAAAGGGTCCTTTTCGAAAAATACCCACATTTTCCTAAAATCGTGCTTGTTAAATTTTACAATCCAAAGGGAAATTATGTGCTCAGATTCCTTTAGGAATTTTGGTACACCAGACATACATGGTCACAAATTATTGGGCCTTCAGCTTTGATCTCAGCTTCTAACACAGATTTATGAAATAAGCCTAAGTTTTGCTGTAGGATGCAAGTATAACTCAAGAGAAGTTGAAATTCATGTTTCATGCTTACTTTTTGCCTTCCTGGTTCATCTTGATAATCCTGACTCATCATTTCAAAACTAGATTTTATCAATAATTACATAAATTGCCATTACAAAAAAGATTTTCCATTTGAAAAACATGTCTACCTAGGGTTTACAGTTTTTCGAGTCACCATTGTACAGATGCAAGTAATTTTAATGAAATCATGTGTTTGGTAATTTGGAAAGTAGGATAAAATATTTATGTGCAAAATAAAACACTAAGATCGCATATCTTTTCTCCCAGCATCTCCAAAACAGCCAGTTGAGGCCATCAGGGCCGCCCTTGCCTCTACCTCAACGAGCACAATCATGAAGGTGACGCGAGCGAGCCATGTTCACAGCGCCTGCGAACTCCTGGGAACAGTCCGCGGAACGCAATTGCTCTCCGCGGCGGACAGCTCCCGGTGCTGAAAGCAAAGGGGGAGAAGCCTCGCTCACAATGGCCACGCAACCAGCCTTTGAAAAATCACAGCAAAGCTGAATGAGGTGGCAAGTGCTCGGGCTGAAGACCACTGTCTGCAGAACAATGGCAGCCAGCTCCAAATCCCACTCTAATCACATTAATGAGATTAATCAGTGAATTAGCAGCAGTCAAATGTCAGGGAGGCAAGGAAGAATCCAACCAAGATCGGTAATTAACTTTTTTGGGGGGGGAGGGGAAAACCAACTATGCTACCTCCTAGTTTTCTCAGAAGTTGACAATTTTCCTTTACAAATCTGAAGACTACATGTACCGATCAAAAGGCAAGAAAAGCAGAATCCGTCATATTATAATATAGATCCAGGTATCACATTACCAGGCTCCAACCATAGTCCTCTGAGAAAAGTGATGTCACTTTAAATAATCTTTAAATTATCTTCACAAACGACCAAGTTTTTGTTATTTTGAGCTTTCTAAGTATGAAATAAAGAATTAAAATGAAAGCATTTCTGTGATACTCAAGCAAAATATTAAAAAATGGCTGATTAAAATGGATTACATAACAGCTGCTTTGCTTACGAGTAGTCTGTGATACTGTGGCAAGAGTTTTTAAA